CTGGCATCGGCACCATTAGCACACAAACCCAGAGTTTAACGAGAGAGCACTTACCACTGAAACCGCCCCATAAAGGCACTTAGCCACGTTAAAATTGCAGCCAAATCTCCCACTTAACCACGGTGAAACTGCAGCCAAATCTCCCACTACACCACGGTAAAAATCACAGCAAACCTCCCTGGGATTCCATGCTTGGTTATAATGGATCCTGACAGATTACTCCTCTTCAGGGACACGCTTCCCACTTACTGCACAGAATTTACTCAGTGCTTCACATCCCCCAAACCCCTCACAGACCCGTACCTTCTGCAGCCAGACACCTCTAAAAATAACATCCTCCCCAAGTGTTGAAAGATATTAAAATATAAAGCCATTAACATATAATAAGACTGGAATGAGAGCTCCGCATGCTCTGAAGCTCTCAGGGTTTGGCTTCCAGTCAAGAAAAATATATTGGATTAGTCTGAGAGCAAAATTAGGCTGGTGTGCAGTTTAATTAGCATTACAAGACACTACATGTGTATGGGAGAGCAGGGAAGATTTATGTTATTATGTGGTAAGAAAAATAATGTTAAAAGGTTAAAATAATATGGGGTTGATATGGCACTATTTACTCTGGGGTTAAGGGGAAGATAACTTTGGAATGCCACTGAATGTTGTTAAAAACCCAAGTTCAAGGATTCGCCAGGGAACTCATCGAAAAATAGTGGAAAAACCTGGCAATTTGGTCACGGGTCAGTCAAACACTTATTCTGGCAACAATAGTCCCCATCAAGGAACTCAGTTAATGCTGATAAAACCTCCTGGTCCTCACACAAAGTCACAGTTTTTCTCCTTCATGGGATGGGCAGAAAATAGAAAATGAAACCCCAGATCAGCAGTGGAGGAGGCTGGGAGGCAGAAGGAAAGGCCCTTGCAGCACCATAAATCTGGGAATAAGGACTTTGGGAAGGTCCTGACTGAGCTGAAGGTGTCCCTGCCTGTGGCAGAGAGATTGGACTCAATGGCCTTGAGAGGTCCCTTCCACCCCAAAGCCTTCTGTGATTCCACAATTCCCAAAGTCCAGCCAGGCTGTTCCCACCCAGCCAAAGGTTTCTCCTCACAGGAATTCAGCCCAGAGCACGTGCAGGGATGCACCTCCAGCCTCGGGAAGAACTCACACTGTATTTAATTTCCCAAAGGATGCAACACATCCCGCAGCCACTGCCACGCTCCTGCCACTCTGCAGCATCTCAACAGCAGGAGTTCTGGATTGTGCATGGAATATTCGTGGGAATAGAGAATTGGAGTTGTGAATGAAGGTAACCAGAGCTGACATTTGCCACAGAGCTCTGCAGGCTCCCTTTATTCCCTCAGGGAGATTCGTCCAGCTTCAAGCAGGACCACAAAGTGGAATTTGAGGGAATGCCCACTGTGAGGGCACATCCTAATCACCATCTTCCCTCTGCACACACCCAGCCTTTCCCTAACCCGGGAGCAGAGCCATGAAATCCCAACACACAGGCCCTGAGCGGGGATTTGAAGGTCAGAGCCCACAGGACCTGTGCTGAGGCTGCTTCCAGAGGAGGCTGGAGAAGCACTTCCAACAGGAGCTCTGCTCAAAGCTCTCAGCACACTGGGCAGGTTTCAGCTGGGATGCAGGAGCCAGACACGGGGATGAAGATGCATGGATGAGCCACAGGTATGCTCAGGGTGGGAGAAGCCTCTGGAGCAGCTTCCACACCTTTAGAGCCTTTGTGCCAAGCACACCAAGAGCTGCTTCTCACTCTGGAGCCAGAATTAACAAAAAAAAAAGGGGGGAAATAACTGCAATTTCACATTGGTGAGGGAAAAGAAAGGAAGAAATTCCTCCCTGTGAGGGTGGGCAGGCCCTGGTGAGGGTGCCCAGAGAAGCTGTGGCTGCCCTTGGGTCCCTGGAAGTGTCCGAGGCCAGCTTGGACAGGGCTTGGAGCATCCTGGGCTGGTGGAAGGTGTCCCTGCCTGTGGCAAGGGGTGGAACTAAATGAGCATGAAGGTCCCTTCCAGCCCAAACTACTCCATGAAAGCAAGGATCAGGAATACCGACATGGGCACTGCTCCAAAGAGGGAACATCCCTTGTTAAAAAGGTGAGAAGTGGAGACTGAGAGATCAGACACCTTGGCACCGGGAAGGTGAAATGCCAGTAACCAAACTGCTGCTCAGCACATTTTTTTGGATGACTCAGCACCTCCCCTCCCTCCCCCCACCAGCTGCAAGCGCCTTCACAATTAGTTTGACAAAACCGATGGCTTTTGATCCCATTCCCAGGCTTTGGAAGTTTTTATCCCCATCTTGGGACACTCTCCAGGCACACATTTCACCCAGCACTGGCCAAAGAAAAAGTTTCAGCAGAAATATGGCATGACACGGATTTGGTTGGAGTAAAAGCAAGGGAATGATGCTCTGCACAGCTCAAATATTGCAAGGATGATTTTTTGACAGCAAAATACAATTTAATTTAGGCACAAAATCCTCTAAAGGGACACAGTGCCCTGATGGGGATCTCCGCGAGCGGAACCTGCCTGACAGAATCCCTCTCCCATCCCACAGCACATCCATCCAGAGGGATTATTTAGATTTTACACCACCTGCCAAGGCTCCACCACTCCCCAAACCCTCTCTCACACCTCTGAGCCACTGAAGAGTCAATGAATTAAAGCAGCTCCAACAAACTCCTCATCTCGCAGCCAGCGCGGTGATGCAACACCCGGCGGGTTCTGGGACAAAGATGTGGAACTACAATGCCTCAACCTCTGCCATGAAAATCTGCCCTTCTATCCCAAATGAGTTACATATTTGGATACCCTGTGAGATAGGGAAGCGGGGCGTTATCGAGCTGCCAAATCTCACTCCTGTCATGAGGTCATTTCTGGCACAGGGCCAGGTGAGGTTTCGGCCAAAATCTCAGCGCTGACCATCGCTCCCCGTCCTTCCCCCCATGCTCCTCTTCCTCCTGCCTCAGGTCAGGAAAGGGGGTGGGGGGAATAAAATAATTCAAAAATAAAGAAAAAAGGGTCAGGACGGGGAGTATCTTTTGGGTTTAAATCAGTTTGTACAATCACGACACACACAGCGCTCGGCCTCTTCACTGAGGATACCTCAGCAGCTGAAGGACATTTGAGGGCTCACAGCACTGTGGTCACTGGTCCCCCCCAAATGAACTCTGACCATGGTCCTCAGGAGAGAAATGTCACTGATCACATTGCTTGAATGAATTATTTAGGAATGTCAACCTAATTTATGCAAGCACCACATGTATAGGATCCACTTTGGATTTATCATCAGCACAGCTTGGAAGGGCTGCTGGGAACCCCACATGTACCCCAAAGCTGGACAATAACTTTCTAAATAAAGCTGTTTGCAAACCCCTCATTTCACTACTTTAATCACTGAAGGGATGCACTCAGGACCCCAGGACACCCAAAGTGCTTGTTTTTAGCTGCAAGGCAGAAAAATCAGTGAGAAAGGGTGAGCAGCACCACTACAAATCCCGTTAATCACACGTTGTCACAGCAGCCGTTCCCAACCGGAGCAGCTCGGGACGCTCAGCTTTCCTTCCCCATGTCCCTACTACCAGCAACCTTCCTCTCCAACCCAAGTGCTTCAGTGTGCCCCAAAGAATATTTCATCTCAAGCCTGACAGGCCAGATGTAGAATAAAGAAATAAATAATTAGCGTTACCTTATCTGGAGTCCGTCAGCTGCAGCGAGCGACGCTCGGAGCTCCGTCCGCATCCAGAGACAAATTATCTAACGCTGTAATTTATGAATGCCTCAAGTATTTGCCCTGGTATTTCATTATACACTCGCTGGAAAGAAGAGCTCGAAAGACTAAACAGATCCAGCACGATAACACGAAAGGCACTCCAGCCGCGCGCTATTCCAAGGCAACCCAGGAATCCCAGCACGACATCAAACCACTCCGGCTCGCTCTGTGTTGACACTGCTGGAGGGGCAGCGAGGGCAGAGCGATGACCCGGGAGCTCGGCTTCCCTCCGGTTCAACGCTGGACTCGGATTTATTATGGGCAGCCGCGGGACCCGGGCAGCGCAAGCCCGGCTCTCCCGGGGGCAGCCGAGGCCGGCGCGGCGGAACGGCTCCCGCTGCCAAGTGGGAGGAAGAGTTCCAAACTCGCCGCTTTATCAAAGCTATTTTTGTCCTTCCCCCCTACACACTGATAACCAGCAAGGCGAGGACCGCCGGGGTGCCGAGGCAGGGCTTGGCATCTCCCCCGAAACCCCGCTGCGACTCCGCGGCACAGCCACCCGGCACCTTGGGGGAGCGGGCCATCCGCTCCGGAGGCTCGGAGGGGAGGAAACTCCTTCCTCCAGCTTATCCTGCTCGCAGCGAGGTTTCGTGCCTGGAAAAAATGAGCTAAGTTTGCGAGCGGAGGCCCCAGCTCCGCTCCGGCTCTCCCAGAGGCTCTCGCGACAGGCGACCCCCGCCAAGGGCTGGGGACACCGGCGGGACAACCGGGAGGCTGCTGCCCACCTGTCCTGCACAGGCTGAGCGGCTGCTGCGGGGGGCACAGCGAGGCATCACCCAAAAGATGATGCACCTGGCCTGGGGGAGAAGCGGAATCAGGAACACAGCGCCGGAGGAGCGAGGGCAGCCAGCGGAGGCCGTGCGGCACCGGGACCCAGCGCGCACGGCGGGTGCGGGGCCGAGCCGTGCGGGGCTCCCCGGCAGCAGCACCCCGCGCCCGGGGGCACCCCGCAAGGGCCGGGGCAGAGCCGCTGCCCCCGGCCAAGGCTGGGCTATCGGGACACACGGCGGGTCTGTCGCGACAGGGAAACCGCGAGCAGCAGGTGGAACACGGGCGGCCCCGCAGCCCGTCACCCCCAGCCCAGACGAGCCCCCCCCGCACTTCACCCCCGCACCGCGAGTTGGGGCTTTGCCCCCTTTCTGCACCAAACTCCTCCGAGGGGCCGCTCCGAAGCGCCCCGGGGCGCGGCGGCCGAGCGCGGGGATGGAGCCGGGGGATGGCCCCGGGCAGCGCGGAGCCCCCGCGGTCCCCCCGCCCCGGCCGGACCCACCTGCTGGCGCCGCGGGGCCCGGCGGGGAGGGGCGGGGCTCGGCAGCCGCAGCGCCGCCTCAGCGTCCGGCCGGGGGGCGGGGCCTGGGCAGGGAAGGGGCGGAGCCTGAGCGGCGGCGGCGGCACTGCGGGGCGGGGTATGCAAATTAGAGGGCGGGGTCAGACAGGGCCGGAGCCGCGCCCATCTGCGAGCCCCGTCCCGATCGCCATCCCTTATCCCGATCCCCATCCCCATCCCTTATCTCTTATCCCGATCCCCACCCCTTATCCCTAGTCCCGATCCCCATCCCCACCCCTTATCCCTAGTCCCGATCCCCATCCCCATCCCTTATCCCTTATCCCTAGTCCCGATCCCCATCCCCACCCCTTATCCCTTATCCCTAGTCCCGATCCCCATCCCCACCCCTTATCCATTATCCCTGATCCCAATCCCGGTCCCTGTCCCGGGACTGGCACGCAGGTGGCTGGGCCCGTGCCCAGTGCGGTTCAGGAGGGCTCAGTCCCGCTTCCGATCCCAGTCCTGGTCCTGATCCAAATCCCAGTCCCTGCCACATCCCCATCCCAGTCCCGACCCCAGTCCCGGTACGGCCGGAGCCGATCCCGGCCCCCGTGACCGCATTCCTGCAGCCGGTGGAGCATTCCTGGGAGCGGGCACCCAACACCGCCGATCCCGGGCTGGGGCAGCGCTGTCACCTGGGTGACACAGGGTGCCCAGGGCTGTGTGAGTGCTCTGCAGCTTGCTAAAGGCTGAGTGTCACTGCTGGGAACTAATGGGAGCTGGGAAACAGCCTGGGAAAGAGTGAACCAGGGAGGGGAGTGGATTTGGAGAGGGAAGCATGGTGTCGAATCACACCTGGTTTTGTTTGGAAGGACCTTAAAGCTCATGGAAAGGAGCTGGCAAAACCTGTGCTGGCTCTACTTCCAATCAGGGGGTTTAATTGATAACAAGAGGGATAATTAGATGATTAAGGTGCTGTGTGATGCTCACAGGCTGCCAGGAAATTTGAACTGAGAAATTAGAGATGTTCTGAACAAACTCGAGAGGTGGCCTGGAGAGAATAGGATGTGATTTGGAAAAGCAAAAGGAAAAGAGGGATTAAATCCGAGGAGTTAATGGCCGCAGAGGAGGTGGCACTGCAGAGGAGGATTCCGGCTGGTTTGGGAGGATCACAGGAAGCAGAGCAGGCCAGCAGTGCTGGGAGAGGTCAGAGCCATCCCCTGATGTCCAGCAAGGGCCAGCACCAGGGGCTGTCACCAGCACAGCCCTGGGAGGGGTCCTGGTGAGCCCCCCGCGTGGGTGCCCAGAGCTGGGTGGTCCCGTGGCAGGTCTGTGCTGCCAGGCCTGGGCCAGGGTGAGTTTCCCACCAGGCTGTCCCTTCCATGAAAAACCCTTCCGAGTCCTGGGACACATCGTCTGAGGATTTGTGGGGTCTTCATGCCACAGATCACAGCCAGAAAGGTCCCACGGTGGCCTTGTCCTACCTTTGGGGAGGAGGACGACCTTTTCCAGCCCTTCCTGGCCTTGTTTTCCTGCAGTAAGGGTTTGGGTTTTTTTCCTCTAAGTCCTGTGTCATAGACATGAACTTCCATGAGAGTCTCTGTTTTCATTCAAGAAAGAAATGTTTCCCTAATATTTGGGAAGAGCAAAACTGGAAGCATCAAGCGCTGCCAACGCCAACAACTGAGGAGCAAAAAGCAAATAAACACAAATGAACCCTCTGTTCAAAACCCTGTAATTATTTCAGGAACATTTATAATTATCTGAGTGCTTGGTGTTGTTGCTGGTTTTCACAGAATCACAGAATATCCTGAGTTGGAAGGGACCCGCAAGGATCACCAAGGCCAACTCCTGCACCACCAAAATCCTGTTTTTCAAGATGAAAATCCCAACCCCAATCCTCCATGGACCTACCCACACTTGCAGCAGCCTCATCCCGTATTCCAGAGTCATTCAGGTTACTCTGAAGGTGAATTTTCGAGGTCAGGTGGGCCTGGGGCTGGGTCAGGGGGAAGATGTGAGCTTTCCATTCCTGCCTTGATCTCATCAGGGATTTGGGCCAAATCCTCACAGTGAGGGATTTCTGCCTCCTAGAGCTGACCAGCATCCCACTAATCAAAAAGGAATCCCCTGTGATGATGGAAATAAAACATAATTAATAAGTGGGATCCTCACACCCAGACCAGTCGAGCCCCACAGTCTGTGGTTCCAGTTTCTCTGAGATTCTGCTTTAATTCCTCTTGTTCTGAGCATTCCCTCCTCTTCCTCTGCCATCCCTGAAAAACTTCATTACATGGATGAAAACCCTCAAAGGTTTGAGCTGTTTTTTGTCTCCTGCCTGTGCTCCAAGGGTCCTGGTCCAGGAGAAGCAGGAGCCAGAGGCTGGGGAAGATGCAGAAGGGACAGGATCCCTGATGCTCTCTGTGGGAAAATAAAGAGGTTGAGGGTCCTGGGGAGGGTGTGCAGAGGCTGCAGAGGAGGAGAGCACACAGGGGACGTTTCTGGAATGACTTTTTCTCTTGATTCCCAAACTTGCTGGGTTTTTTCCAGCACTGCCTTCCCATCCCAGCAGGATTTAACCGCAGGTGGGAGGAAGCTGCTGCAGCTTAGGAGATCTCCCTTCCCTTTGGAATGGGTACAGCCCTGCACAGCACAGGTGGCAGGTCTGGGTGCCCCTCTGCATGTGAATTCCACGGATCAGGGAATCTTCGAGTGATGTAAAGCAGCTTTGAGCCCATTTCCCATTTACATTTTGGCAGCAGCTGCAATTCCTGCAGCGGCTGCAGAGTCAGTTTAACATGTGTGACCTAAAAGCTTTGGAATTCCTGACTTTCTTTTGAGGAAAGCCATCCCTTGCTCTCTCAGTGATGTTCTCAACAACATGAGTACAATAAAGTCTCCTAAAACCTGAAATCCTGGCACTCCAACAGCACATCCACGGGCGTTTACAAGCCCCTAGGAAGGAGAATCCTGATTTTATGGAGCCTCCATCCAGCACTGCAGTTTCAATTCCTCTTCCTCAGTGAGATCTAAGATGTTCCATAAAATCTGCTTTTCTTAAGACTGTTTTTTCAGTAACTGTGAGCTCTGTCCATGCAGGAAAGGTAATTGTGTCCAACTGCTTCCACAGGGGCAGGGATTGAGCAATGCACTCATCTTAGAAGAGCAAGATGTATTAAGGAATCACATTCATGACTTTTTTTTCCTAGCTCTGCCAGGGATTCTTCCAAGATTTTCCCTCTCAGGACAGCACAGTGTCTCTGATCATTCATCTCTCCCTCTCATCTTCCCCCATGAATTCTCACAATGAACACTAAGTTGCTCACAGAAGCTGTGGCTGCCCCATCCCTGGGGGTGCCCAAGGCCAGGATGGATGGAGCTTGGAGCAGCCTGGGATAGAGGAAGGTGGCACAGGGTGGGATGGGCTTTTTACAACAAAAAACAGCAACAAAAACAGCTGTATTGACTCTTGCTGGGTTTATTTTCACATTTCCCGCTGCACTGCTGACTTTTAAGGAGCAGCAGCACACTGACACCTCACTTTCCTGCCTGGACCAGGCTTTGCTGTGTTTTGAAGGAAGATGAGGCCTGGCAGCCCCACGACTCCATCCCGGAGCACACAGGAGGAGGTTTGGCCGAGGAGGCCGAGCTCAGCCTAAACACAACTTCTTGCAGAGGGGGTGAGGAAGATGCTGCTCTTGGTTCTGTTGTATGTTTATTTATATGTTATTTGGTGATAATGAGAACCAAATGTTCGGGATCTATTCAGTTCTTAAACTTTTATAGACTCATTGTCTTGATTTTCAACTGTGCAGCCGTCTCCGAGCCCCTGCCTCCCCCGGAATCGTGGCAGTGCCGTCGGTGACCAGGCTCAGCTGTGCTCTTACTCATCCTGGCTGGAACAATGATATTCCACACCACGTTATTCAACCTCCCCGGTGCCTCCTGGCCCCCTCACGCCGACCCCTCGGCTCCCACATCCCGGGTCAGCGCCGCAGCCGGCCAAGGCATTGTGCTGGGGGTGCCACTTTGGGGCTGTGCTGGTGCCAGGGAAAGAGGATACGATCTGCGCCTCGAGGAGCAGACGTGCCACATGAAAGATGCTCTGCCAGAGAGCCCAGAGCCCGCTCTGCCCCTCGCGTCGCTCACCAAAAGGCAGGGAAAAGGAGGAGAAGGGAAAGGAGGGAGCTGCACCCTTAGTGCCGAGCCTGGCCAGGGATTACAGCCAGGGGCTGCTCTCCCTGCCCCTTGGCAAGGATTTCTCCAGCCTGCCTGGTGCCGTGGCCTTGCTGGGCCCTGGGTTGGAGTCAGTGATCTCTCAGGTCTTTCCCAGCTTCATGGATTTTTTTTCCAACTTCATGGATTCATGGTCTTTTCCAACTTCATGGATTCATTGTTTTTCCTGTTTGCCCAGGAGCACAGCTCTGGATTTGGGGCTCCTTGGGGAAAGGGTTCCACCCCACAGAGCCACACCCTGTCCAGGTGGGAAACCCCTCAAACAGAGCCCTCCCCACCCAAAGCATGGCTGCTCTCACAGCACAAGGGTCTGCAGCAGCTTTGCCACAGCCTGAGAGCCCCTTCCAGTGCCTAAAGGGGCTCCAGGAGGGCTGGAAAGGGACTTTGGACAAGGGATGGAGTGACAGGACACAGGGAATGGCTTCCCACTGCCAGAAGCATGTGGGATTAGCACCGTGTTGTGGGCAAAGGAAACTCTACCGCTGGTGTCTTCTCCAGGCAGGGGCAATTCTGACAGGAGAGCTCCTGGAAATCCCCTGCCACAGGTTTGTGGCCCATGTCCCCATTTCAGCCTCTTTGGCTTTTGCTTCTCTGTCTTTAGAGATGTAAATTCCATGGATAATGATTTGAGCCTAAAGATGCAATTTCTGTACTAAAGACAGACAACTGTAAAGTGCCTAAAATCCCTTGCAGATGGAGCAGGGCCACAGTTCCAGCCCCAGTATAGAATCCCAGGATGGTTTGGGTGGGAAGGGACCTTAAAACTGATCCCATCCCAGCCCCTGCCATGGACAGGGACAGCTTCCACCAGCCCAGGCTGCTCCAAGCCCTGTCCAGCCTGGCCTTGGACACTTCCAGGAATCCAGAGGCAGCCACATCTTCTCTGGCCAGGGGAGAATTTCT